TAAGGGACCGTCCCCGAAGGTCGGCCGGCCAGCACAGCCGCCAACGAGAAGCATGGGTGGGGGCGGGAGGTAGCACCTTTGCATGTTAAACGCACCCCACACGTGGGGAGGGGGAGGGGCAGGACCGGCCGACAAAAACACACACTAAAAAGGCACTTCTGGTTTCCTTTCCTTTTCTTTTTAAAAAAAGTTTTATTTTTTTAAACTTTGTGGGGTGTTTTTTTTTTTTTTTAATTGCTAACTTGTGATGTGTCTCCTCCCACTTCTCCGTGGGAGACTTTTGGCAGGGAAGGGGGCAACGGTTGGACAATCCACTCTCCCCCCCCCTCTGAAATGTATGCACGCACCCACACCCGTGTCCACGTAATATGCACGCCGTGGTGCCAGTGGAAAAACACACAACACCGCTCGTCCCCGCGTCCTTTGAATGCACGATTAGAGACAAGGGCAATTTTTTTTCTTGCGGGGTAGAAGGGGAGCAAAGGGCTATTTTAAATGCACCCCTCCTTTTTTTCTTCTTTTCTTTTCTTTTTTAAAGCACAACAGCTCGAGAAAGAAAAAAAAGGGAAATGTCATTTTTTCCATCTTCCCTGCAGCTGGATGGGCTTTGCCAGCTGCATGAGGGAGGGGGGGGAAGCAGAGGATACCCGGAGACGGGGTCGCGGTGCACTGGGTTGGGTGGAAGGCTGTCCGGGAACAAATTACGGCGAGGGAAAAGGGACAAAAAAGTTAAAAATGTAGTAGGCAGGTCGGTCCATCCGTCACCGCTGCTTCCGGGATGGGTACAAAGAGGAGAGGGTCAGAGTCGGCCACCGTCCGCTCAACCTTGTCTCTTTTTTCTCCGGAATGGCATTGTTTGCTGTTATTTCTCTTTGTCTTTTTTTATTTTATTTTTTAAACGTTTGAGTAATAAACTTGTAATTCCGTGGTCTCTCGTCGGATTCTTGCCCCCCCCCCTCCCACCTCCCCCTCTCTCCTAATGGCATAGAATGGCTCAGTTTTGCATCCCGGCTAAGAGGGTTTGAATAGAATGAATGAGAAGGGAGAGTGGGGCGGTGGCCTAGAAGTGGGGCGCTCTCGCCTCACAATCCGGAGGCTGTGAGTTCGATTCTAGATAAAGGCAAATATTTCTCTCAATGAGAGTCTGCAGAACAAAACTCCGCATTGGCGACAGGAAGGGCATCCGGCCAGTAAAACACTCTGCTTAGCTCCATTCAGTTGTCTGGACTCCATCCCGCAAGGGATTATGGGGTCGTTAAATGATGAATGAGCTGGAAAGGACCTTGGAGGGCTGCTCAAGCAGGACAGCCTTGGTAGTACAGTGGTCTAAAGCACCCTGTTATTAAGACCAGCTGCCTGCAATTACTGCAGGTTCGAATCTCTCCAAGGCTCAAGGTTGACTCAGCCTTCCATCCTTTCTAAGGTAGGTAAATTGAGGACCCAGTTTGTGGGGGCAATAAGCTGACTTTGTATAAATATACAAAAGTATGAAGGCTATTGCTTAGCGCATTGTAAGCCGCCCTGAGTCTCCGGAGAAGGGCGGCATATAAATTAAAAAAAAACAAAAAACCCTATACTATTTCAGATAAGTGATTGTCTACTCTCTTCTTGAAAACATCCAATGATTTCTGGTGGCAAGCTGTTCCACTGGTTAATTGTTCTAACTTTCAATAAATTCCTCCTTAGTTCTAGGTTGCTTATCTCTTTCATTAGTTTCCATCCATTGTTTCTTGTCCTGCCCTCAGGGGCTTTGGAGAATTTGACCCCCCCCACCTCCTCTTTGGGGCAGCCCCTCAAATACTGGACTACTACTATCGTGTCACCCCTAATTCCTTTCTTTAGACTAGCCAGACCCAAATCCTGCAGCTGTTCTTCCTATGGTTTAGTCTCCGGGCCTTTGACCATCGTAGTCGTTCTTCTCTGAACTTTTTCCAAAGTTTCCAACATTGTTTTTTGTAGTCTGGTGACCCCAAATCAGGTTTTTTTTTTTGCACATACATACCGTAGATTTGCACACAGTTCTGCTGCTCTCCCCTGGGTCGTGCGTAGAGGCGGTTGCGCAGGGAGGGCAGAGGAAAACTTCAGGGGGTTGGAAATGAAGGGCGAGAGAGACGGAGGGGGTGTGTTTAGAAGATGGAGCAGATAGGGGAAGACAGAGAGTGAAGAGAGGCACAGTGACACACAGACAGAGAAAGAGAAAGACAGAGAAAGAGACAGACAGACAGACAGAGACAGAGACAGAAAGAGAGAGACAGACAGAGAAAGACAGAGACACAGAGAGAGACACAGAGAGACAGAGACACACAGACAGACACAAAGACAGACATAGAGAGACAGACACAGAGAGATAAAGAGAGACAGACAGAGAGAGACAAAGACAGAGAGACACAGACAGACAGACACAGACAAAGAGAGACACAGACAGAGAAAGAGAAAGAGAGAAAGAGACAGAGAGACACAGACAGACAGAGACAGAGAAAGAGAGACACACAGAGACAGAGACGGATAGAGACACACAGGGAGACACAAAGAGACAGACACAGAGAGACAAAGACAGAGAGACACAGACAGACAGACAAAGAGACACACAGAGAGAGACAAAGAGAGACACAGAGAAAGAGAGAAAGAGACAGAGACACAGACAGACAGAGACAGAGAAAGAGAGACACACAGAGACAGAGACGGATAGAGACAGAAAGAGAGAGACAGACAGAGAAAGACAGAGACAGAGAGAGACACACAGAGAGACAGAGACACACAGACAGACACAAAGACAGACATAGAGAGACAGACACAGAGAGATAAAGAGAGACAGACAGAGAGAGACAAAGACAGAGAGACACAGACAGACAGACACAGACAAAGAGAGACACAGACAGAGAAAGAGAAAGAGAGAAAGAGACAGAGAGACACAGACAGACAGAGACAGAGAAAGAGAGACACACAGAGACAGAGACGGATAGAGACACACAGGGAGACACAAAGAGACAGACACAGAGAGACAAAGACAGAGAGACACAGACAGACAGACAAAGAGACACACAGAGAGAGACAAAGAGAGACACAGAGAAAGAGAAAGAGAGAAAGAGACAGAGACACAGACAGACAGAGACAGAGAAAGAGAGACACACAGAGACAGAGACGGATAGAGACAGAAAGAGAGAGAAAGAGAGACACAGAGAGAGACACAGAGACAGAAAAAGACAAAGACACAGAGAGAGACAGAGACACACAGAGACAGAGACACAAAGAGACAGAGACACACAGAGACAGAGACACAGAGACAGACACAGACAGAGAGACACAAAGAGAGAGAGAGAGAGAGAGAGCTGGCTGGGGAATTCTGGGAGTTGAAGTCCACCAATCTTTAACAGTTGCCAAGATTGGACACCCCAGGTTTACAACGCATTATTCTGCCACACACACACACAGCCCGCCAAATATTGGCTGTACCAATTGGGTACGATGGGCGTTGTAGTCCAACCCCTTCAAGAGCCACCAGCTTGGGAAAGAGTTTTACAAAACCTCCCATTTTCGTAAGTCTTGATTTATAGGTTCACCCTTTTAATAGATCTGGTTCATAGAAAGCCCCCCCCCATTTGATAGATTCTTTTTATAGCTCCACCCTTTTAAAAAAATATCCTATTTATAGACCCCTTTTATAGATCCACCCTTATTTGATTTATAGAAATCCTCTGTTGATGGATCCCTTTTATAGATCCCCTCTTGCTATCAGTCCAATTTATGGAACCACTTTTTGATAGATCCCTTTTATAAATCCACCCTTGTTATATGTTTGATTTATAGAAATCCTCTGTTGATGGATCCCTTTTATAGACCCCCTCTTGCTGTAAATCCGATTTATGGGGGGGGGGAAACACCTTTGATAGATCCCTTTTGATAGATCCACCTTTGTTATAGGTTTGATTTATAGAAATGCTGTTGACAGATCCCTTTTATAGATCCAAAGGACTACAAGGCTCTTGCTGTACGTCCGATTTACAGAACCCCCCCCCTTTGGATAGATTCATTGATAGATCCACCTCAGGGGTGGAGCTCCCAAACAAAGAGAACTGGTTTGGTGACGTCATATCGTCACCGCTACTGGTTCGGCCGAACCTGGAGGAACCCACCACTGATCCACTTTTCCCTTTCCAGCCGTGGATGGAGGTCAAACCGTGAAGGAACGAGATTTTCGGGCACCGTTTTAACCAAGCGAAACCGTTTTACCGTTCAACGCACAACCGTCTCAAAGGAATTTTCGATGTTTCGTTTTTTTGGTTTTGTTTTTTTTTTTAGAAAAACCACAAACTCACACAAATATATCACGCACAAAACAGAAAACAGATCCGAAGTTAGCGCAGGCAGGCAAGAGAAGTCACCCGGTGCACACAGCCGGGAACCAGACGGCAGGGAAGGGCCCAAGACGGACTTTCGGGCGTCGAGACAATGTGACGGAGAGGCGAGAGATCGGCTGTGGGGTGAGAGGGTGGGGGGCACAGGAGCTGCCATGCAAACAGGGTTGGGGGGGATCCCGAGGCACACACACCCCCATTTTGGTGGGGCGAGGAAAAGGGAACAGTGGGGTGAAAAATACATGGAAACAAGGGATTCCAGCTTGAGACACCACAGTCGACAAAAGTGAATTTGAGTGCAGGTAGTCCTCGACTTACGACCATCCGCTTAGTGACCTGTTCCAAGTTAGGACGCTACTACTGAACAGACCGATTTAGAACGGGGGGGTCCTCTCACTTGCGACCCCGTGATCACACGACCCAAAGTTCAGGCGTACTTTTAACGATGGTTGGAGGGTCTCGGGGGGAGGGGGGGAGGCATCACCCATGCTGTTCGCGATTTTCTCAGCAAGCTTCACAAAGCAGTGGGGAAAGCCAGGTTTGCTTAACGACCACGTGATTCACTTAACGACAGCAGCCAAAAGGAGGTTATCGAACTGGGCCTGACTCCGTGACGGCGCGCTTCACTTAAAAGCAACCAGAGAATTAAAATTGTCCCTGGCTCCGTTGATGAGAACGTGCTTCGACGGAAGTACAATTGGGGTGACTGAATCAATGACCATGTGATCCACTTAACGACGGCAGCAAAACGAGGTGAACAAAATTGGACACGATTCAACGACCCGCTTAGCGACCAAAGTTCTAGTCCCAACGGTGGTCGTAAGTGAAGGACTACCTCCGCTTTGGCTCAGTTGTGAAATGAAAACACAAAAAAGATAAATAACCTCTCCGGGCGGAGGCACGTCTGTGTTTGGCCGGCGTGTAGGATCAATGCTAAAAAAATAAAAATTCGGGCTCCGTACAAAGGGCCCCACCCCAAAATGGACGACAGAAACAGAGCAACCCTGGCAGAAAATAAAGCTACGGGGAAAAGCAGCTTCGCTCTTAATTTTTTTTTTGTTCCCTTTTTCTGCCGTTCGGAGAGACGTTTTGTGCTGTTTTCGGGAAGAGCGCGAAGGTTGGCTTTTAAGAGAGACTGGACTGTGCTTGAAGACAAATTGGCAGTTTCGGGATTGTCCCCCCCTCTTGGCCCTCCCGGCCCTTCTCCTCCTTATGGATGGGAGACCAAGAGGATAGCATTTTGTGCAAAATTCCTTTCCTTCGTTCCAAAAACTCGGTTCGGATGGCCTTCCGATGTCCGGGCACAAGCAAGCTTCCTTCCATTAAACCGTGGCTTGAAGTAGGGCAGGATGGAGGAGAGAGGTAACAGATCCTGCTCCCCTTTTTAAATTCTTGAGCATTGGCCAAAGGCCAATGGCTCCAAAGTCTTCAATTAATGCAGGAGAACAAGAGAAATTGGACAGGTGTGAATCCATCCCTTCCACCCCTCATATCAGACGCAGCAGCCACGGACGACGACAGCTTTCCCCCCGCCCAAAAAATTTCTCCTTCCCCTTAATAAGTCTTCTCCGAGACACCGTCTCGAACTCGTGACTTGGGCTGGTCCAAAGCCAAGATGGCAGCCCCACCTGGTCCCTGCTGACACGGAAGACCTAAGCACGCCCCAAATCGGACGCCGAAGTGGCAAGACGGGCGGTGGAGAGAGGGAAATTTTTAAAAAGGGGGGGGAGGGATCCTGCACGTTTACACAGGGAGGTGGGTCCCTCCGAGTGGTGTGAGGTCCTTTCCGGATTCTCAAAGTCCTGGATTCGAACCCGCCGCTTCAGAAGCCTTCGATATGGCAATAGGCTTCTAAAGCCGCTAAGAGGATGTAGACCAGCCAGAGGCTGACGAAAAGCAAGGTGGACAGAAGTTTCGGGGTTCGGGGACCGCCCAGCTCGCCCCCCACCGGAGGCCGGCGCCGGTACAACAGCACCGCGATGCTGATGAAGGCAAAGATGGTGAAAAGGGTGACGGAGAAGGCCAGGGAGCCCGGCTGCACCTCGAAGGGTTTTCCCTTGCTGGCCCAGTAGCTGGCGGCGATGGTCCAGGCCACACCGATGCCGAGGAAGACGTTAACCGCGTTGCTGCCCGTCACGTTGCCGATGGAAGCGTCGGCGTACTGGTCTTGGATGGCGGCCACCTTGCTGGCGAAGGTATCTAGAAAAAGAGACAGAGAGGACAGAGTCAAGCCACCAATGTGGGTTTGTGGGCCTCGCCAGGCATTGGAGGGGAAAGATGGCAACCCCTTTTCCGGAAGGGGGACCGCGAAGCTGCTTCGCGTCTCTCTTGAGGCTTCCTATCCTCTCGTCTTACGGCCATTTCTTAATTTTTCTGGATTTCCTAATTTCTAAAGGAAAAGCTAGCGGGTCGTTTTTTTCTTTACAAATCAATTGATGGGAGGAAAAATGAGATAGTAAAACGTCTTTCGGGCATCTGTGTGCCAGGTTGCCAGATAGGAACTGAAGTATTTTGTTCCAAACTCGGCAACTTTAAGATGGGGTAGGCTTCAACTTCCAGAATTCCCCAGCCAATCTGATTTATCGCCTTTTCTTAGGAATAAACTTCAATTTATTTCTAGGGATTTTAATCCTCCTTAAATAAACTTCAATTTATTTCTAGGGATTTTAATCCTCCTAAATAAAGTTCAATTTATTTCTAGGGATTTTAATCCTGCTAAATAAAGTTCAATTTATTTCTAGGGATTTTAATCCTCCTAAATAAACTTCAATTTATTTGAAGTTATCAAGGGCACCGTATTCTCGTCCTGATTTTGATTAACAGGTCAATTAAGCAAATTCTCCAGACTTTGGGTCCTAATTATACCGGGCACTGTAGGCAATATCAGTGATTTAATTGGCCTCTCTTGAAAGCCCCTCATTCCTGGCCATGATTAAACCAGTATTTCTTAAACTTGACCATTTTAAGACTGTGGACGTCTATACACAGCGTGCTGGCTGGGGAATTCTGGGAATTGAAGTCTTAAAAGTTGCTAAGTTTGAAAAACGTTGATTGAAACACCTGTAACTTGCACTTAACAGTCCCAGTTAACCAAGGATTTTAACTCTGCTATCGAACCAAACCCTCACCCCAAACCGAGATTTTGCAACTGGACAAACAGCCATTCCCAAGCGTGCCTGTTTTGCAGAGAAGCTGCAAAATGAATGAATGAATGAATGGATAAATGAAGGAAGGAAAAGAGATAGTCCACAATTTACAACCACAACTAAGCCCAAAATTTCTGTTGTTAAGTGAGGTTTTGCCCCATTTTTTCAACCATTCCTGCCACCGTTGTTAAATGAATCCCTGCTGTTCTTAAGTTAGTAACCCGGTCGTTAAGCGAATCCAGCTTCCCCCTTGACTTTGCTTGTCGGAAGGTCGCAAAAGAAAAATCAATACACCCACCGCCCCCTGGGGCCCTGCAAAGATCATCAATACAAACCAGTTGCCAAGCGTCCAAATTTTGATCGCATGATGGGGACGCTGCAAAGCTCCCGGTCACCTTTTGTAACTTGGGAACAGTCACTAAACAAACTGTCGTAAGTGGAGGACGACTTACTTTATGTTAATAACAAATTAAAAAAAAAACGCGGCTTGCCGCCGTGCAAAGTCACATAAGCCTTCCGACCAGCAATTTCTGGAGAAAAAAAAGGGGGGGATTTAACTCCCAAATTCACTTTTCTCGGTGAACGAGTGGGTTTGCACTAATAACAGCGCTACGTTCCAAACCACCGATCAGAAACGAGAGGAGGGGGGAAAGGACTTGCAGGCGAGCAAGTGAACATTTGCATGTCAACCGTTCCACGATTTGGAGAGACAATGTTATCGCTACGAGCCTAAAAAAAGATAGAGGCTTTTTTTGTTTGTTTTTAACTGCTGTTTGTCGGGTTAAGCGAAAGGCGTTTTGCTCACGCCTGCTTTAAAATCCACCCGGCTGCTTCCACCGTCGTGGTGTTGTGTCAGCTGTGTGTTTCCCAAATTGACTTTTCGGCTCTCTCAGCCACGAGTCCCTGATTGCTGGCAGGGACCTGTTTTTTAGTGAGTCAAGGCTCCTTAAAATAGCAAAAAAGCAAATTTAGGATTGGCTCCGGAGGGGCCTGTCAAAGCATTGGTGTGCAAGGGTTGGGGGTGGGGGTGGGAGGGGCGGTGGTGTATCTGGGGACACCAGATTATTTCAAGAGAACATCTGCAAAACGGAGCGGTCCAACAGCTAAGCCTCTGGTGCAAATTCTGTTTTTTTTTGTTTTGTTTTGTTTTAAAGGTGCAAAGGGGGTTGCTCTTGTTGCCTCCAGAAATGGTGGGCTCTCCATCTCTTTTCAAGAAGAGACTAGGCAGCCACTTGTCTGAAACGGTGCAGGTTCTCCCCTGCTTGAGTAGGGGGCTGGACTAGAAGACCTCCAAGGGTCCCTCCCTCCCTTCCAGCTCTATTCTATTCTAAACATTCTGCAGCATCCCCACAGCCCAATTTAGGAACAAGCAAATTGGCAGCAGGATTTTCATTTCTAAGCAAGGCCCTGGTTAAATGAGTCACAGCTGATTTTTATAAGGTCCTTTTTTGTCTTAAAGGAATCATTAGCAGAATATTCTATTCTATTCCATTCCATTCCATTCCATTCCATATTTTCTATTCTATTTCTATTTCTATTATTTCTATTCTACATTCTATTCTATTCCATTCCATTCCATCTTTTCTATTTCTATTTCTATTCAAATTCCCTATTCCTATTCCATTCCATCCTATTCTAATTTCTCTATTCTATTCTATTCTATTCTATTCTATTCTATTCTATTCTATTCTATTCTATTCTATTCTATTCTATTCTATTCTATATCATTCCATTCCATATTTTCCATTCTATTTCTATTTCTATTATTTCTCTTTCTCTTATTTCTATTTCTATTCCTACTCTTAATTCCCTATTCCTACTCCATTTCATTCCATCCTATTCTAATTTCTTTATTCTATTCTATTCTATTCTATTCTATTCTATTCTATTCTATTCGATTCGATTCGATTCGATTCGATTCGATATTCGATTCGATTCAGTTCGATTCTACATTCCATTCCATATTTTCTATTCTATTTCTATTTCTATTTCATTCCATATTTTCTATTTCTATTCAAATTCCCTATTCCTACTCCTATTCTATTCTATTTCATTCTATTCCATATTTTCTATTCTATTTCTATTCTAATTCCCTATTCCTATTCCATTCCATCCTATTCTAATTTCTCTATCCTATCCTATCCCTCACAGTAGAATGCAGCATATCTGACACTACCCGTCCCCACGACTCACTCTGCGTCTGGACCTATGTGTGGTCTGGACCTATGTGTGTGTGTGGGTGTGTGGGTGTGTAAGTCCCTCTCCCACCCGTCACTAACCGGGCACGGAGGTACCCAGCGCCACGAACACCACCGCCGTGACCGAGTCCTTGAGTCCGATGGTGCAGCCGAAGTGAGAGGCCAGGTCCCCCGTGAGGGCGGTGAGCACCCCGATGAGGCAGATCGAGACCAGGAAGCAAGCCCAGCCGCACCAATACTCGGTGGGCGGCACGAACGCGAAGAGAACTTTCCAGAAGACGGTGAGGAAATGCATGATGTAGTCGAAGCAGGAAGGGAGACGGTCCTCGCCCGAATCGTCGTCTTCATCGTCACCTGCCCGGGAGGGTGTCATAAAAACACGGATTAACCTCTCTCGGTAAGAGAAACAAGACTTCCAGTTGCTGCCAAAACACTTGATGGGAAGTTATTTATTGCTCAAAGAGCCATTAATGTTAACCCATATAGTGTGGCTGTAGTATTATTAATTATCCTTATCTTCTATACTTTCCCCTTCTATTGGTATTATTATTATTACTATTAGTATGATCTCATTTATTCATTAAACATGAAACTCATGTCAACTGAACATTTAAAAATGTATCACAAATATCATTGTGATAATATCGTCGTCATTATTATTATTATTATCATCATTAGTATAGAATTTTAATCTTCAGTTCAGACTGGGACTGATAAAAACAGTTCAAGTCCAAACCAAGGACCTAAGGAACTATGAAGGTAGCATCTGAGTACACAGTAGTGGCCAAAATTGTGGAAACCTTTCAGGAAAAATGTATTTTTGAAGTTTGATGGCTAATAACACCACTTTTTTTGGGGGGAGTTTCAAAATAATCATATTCCACTGGTTGAATGGCCTGGGAATAGCCCAGACCTGCACCCAATTGAAAATCTAGGGAGCCGACAAAAGAAACTGGTTAGTCAGAAGCGAGCCAGCAATAAAACCCAGTTAATAGAAGCCATCATTCCATCTTGGTTTCACATGATAACAGCTGCAGAACTAAAAGACTTGGTTCACTCCATGGGAAGACATTGTAAGGCCGTCATTCATGCTAAAGGTTACTCAACTAAATATTAACTGACATGGTGATCATTTTTGTATATCTCATTTTTTTCTACGTGTTTCACTTTTCTTCTTTATACTGTTAACTGCTATTCTAATAGCAAATCCTTCCTAAAAGTTATTGCATTACATTCTTGATTCAATTATCTTTCCGTTGATGTATCATTTTATGGTACGACTCCCCATAAAAAGTGGTGTCCTTAGCTAGTTTTAGAAAATACACTTTTCCCAAAAGGTTTCCACAATTTTGGTCACTACTGTATATAGGCAGTTCTGAGTAAGGTGGTTTGTTTATCCCCAAAGTCAGAATATTCAGGTCTAATAAGTTCCAAATTTCCACATATCTAAGCAGCCTTTTGGGTAATCGCTCCAAGGGCTCCCATTACTATTGTTATAATCGTTGCTTTCTTCCTCCACAGTCGCGCAACTTGGATTTGCAAATCGCGATATTTCGTTTTATATTTTTTCTAGCTCTTTCTCTTCCGTTCGTGCGTCACCTGATACTGCAATATCAACGAATGAACGATTATTAATAATACCGTGTGTTTCCCTGAAAATAAGACCGAGCCTTACATTAATTTTTTGCTCCAAAAGACGCATTAGGGCTTATTTTCAGGGGATGTCTTATTTTTTTGGGTGTGGGGGGGGGAATACATTACTAAATAGGGATGCGGTGGCTCAGTGGCTAAGACGCTGAGCTTGTCGATCGAAAGGTCGGCAGTTCAGCGGTTCGAATCCCTAGTGCTGCCGCGTAACGGGGTGAGCTCCCGTGACTTGTCCCAGCTTCTGCCAACCTAGCAGTTCGAAAGCAAGTAAAAAATGCAAGTAGAAAAACAGGGACCACCTTTGGTGGGAAGGGAACAGCGTTTTCCGTGCGCCTTTGGCGTTGAGTCATGCCGGCCACATGACCACGGAGACGTCTTCGGACAGCGCTGGCTCTTCGGCTTTGAAACAGAGATGAGCACCGCCCCCTAGAGTCAGGAACGACTAGCACATATGTGCGAGGGGAAGCTTTACCTTTACATTACTAAATACGTCCCTCTTAACTGGGGTTTATTTTGGGGGTAGGGCTTCTATTACAAGCATCCTGAAAAATCACGCTAGGGCTTATTTTCCAGTTGGGTCTTATTTTGGGGGAAAACAGGGTAGGAGTAGCAGTACTAGTGTTCTCTCTGTTGCTTTGCATGCACACGGAGGGCTTCTGCACCGGAGAAAAACTCCTTGTGTGTCGAATCGCACTTGGCCAAATTGAAAATATTCCCTTCAATTCCATTCAATTCTTCTTACCGGCACTGACGGTGACGGCGCTTACGAACTGCTCTCGCCAACTGCTGCTTCCCACCACGAGCGCCAAGTTGGTTTTCTTGATCAATTTGTCCACAGTGCTCTGGAGGAAGAAGAGGTTGGGGAGAGGTGAAACGGGATGTGGGGGGGGGGATCTTGGGGGCTCCCCCCTCCCTTAGCAATTGTTTAGCTTTCAATGCTGCCTCTGATCAAAGCTAACTGAGCACCGCACGGCATGGAATAAAAGATCATTATTTTTTCAAACAATTGTGGTTTACGGCCACAATTGAGCCCAAAATTTCTGCCGCTAAGCGAGACAGTTGTTAAGTGGGATTTTGTCTCATTTTTACGACCTCTCCTGCCACAGTTGTACAGTGAATCACTGCAGTTGTTATCCTATCTGCTCGCGTTTCCATTACTTCTCCTGATCAGAAGCCGGAATTTATTACAAAGAATAACGTGCTTAAGACTACAATACAGGAAGTCCTCGACTTACGCCCACAATTGAGCCGGACATTTCTCTCGCTAAGTGAGAAATTTGTTAAGTGAGTTTTGTTCCGTTTGATGACTTTTCTTACATTGGTTAAGTGAATCACTGCCGTGGATAAGTTAGTAACGTGGTCGTTAAGTGAATTTGGCTTCCCCATGGACTTTGCTTTGTCAGAAGGTCGCAAAAGAGGATCACATGACCCCGGGGACATTGCAACGGGCATAAACATGAGTCAGTTGCCAAGCGTCTGAATTCTGATCATGTAACCACAGGGATGCTTGCAACGGTCATAAGGGTGAAAAACAGTCCTTTTTCCAGTGCTGTCGTAACTTCAAACGGTCACTAAATGAACAGTTGTAAGCTGGGTGCATTTGATGAGAAGAGAACTGGGATTGACGGGTCCGAAGAAGACTTGTACAAATTTGGATGAGAGACAGAGACAGAGAGAGAGACAGAGAGACAGAGACAAAGAGAGACACAGAGAGAGACAGAGAGAGACAGAGACAGAGACAGAGACAAAGTGAGAGACAGAGACAGAGACAAAAAGAGACTGTGACAAAGAGAGGGAGAGACAGAGAGAGACAGAGACAGAGAGAGTGAGACAGAGACAGAGAGAGACGGAGACGGTTATTACCTTGAACTCGTAAGATTCCTCAATGATAACTTCAAGTTTGGCATTTTCTCCCAAACTGGGGTATCCCATTTTGGCAATTTTCTCCTCCCCTGCAGGCAATTGATTCTCGTTAGTATCACCTAGGATAGGATGGGGAAAAAGAGATTGGTGGTGTAACGGACCTAGGAGAAAGACCTCGAGCAACGGAGGAAAAAGAAGCTGCTTAGGGAATGGTTAGATAAGAGGCCACGGTAGCCCTCAGCTACACAATGGGTGGAGAAAAAGGATTCAAAGAGACTCTCTACTAGCTTCTCCGGATTTAAGTGAAAACTGGATGGGGGGAATTTCTTCCTTTTTCATCTTCCCATCCTTACCGTGCCGGAGTCCGATGTCCAAAATAACTGGGGGTCCCAACTCCAGATAGAAATTCTTATTTTTTTCATACTCCTCATCGTCGATAATTTTTATCTCGATGTATCTTCTAAGAGAGGGAGAAAGAAACCAGTTCAAACTCAAACTCCAACATTGACAGAGGTAGGCAGGGCAAACTCTTAACACCTCTGCCCTAAAATGTTTCCAACTTTCTTTTTTTAAAAAAAATAATAATAGTCGGCTTCTATATTTTCCAGCTGGAAAATATAGAAGTTTTACTCCAGTTCCCAGAGGTGAACATCTCTCGGCAGCCATTTGATGGCCACACTTCGAAGAAATGACACGGTAGACATTTGTCCCTGGGCTCCTTTCGGATGAGCAAGGAGAAAAAACATATATATGGATAGCCTAAGAGGATTAAGATATGCAGGGAATTTATAGCCAGGACTCCCAGTGATATCAGCTCTGCTCAACCCCTCTGGACTGCCAAAACTTCTGGAAAATCAGTTCTAAAATCAGTTTATAACCAATTTCGTTGTATACATGATGTACAATGACAATAAAGGCTGCTGTTGTTGTTGTTGTTGTTGTTGTTGTTGTTGTTGTTGTTATTATTATTATTATTATTATTATTATTATTATTATTATTATAGGTGAAAGGTAAAGGTTCCCCTCGCACATATGTGCTAGTCGTTCCCGACTCTAGGGGGCTGTGCTCATCCCTGTTCCAAAGCCGAAGAGCCAGCGCTGTCCGAAGCCGTCTCCGTGGTCATGTGGCCGGCATGACTCAACGCCAAAGGCGCACGGAACGCTGTTCCCTTCCCACCAAAGGTGGTCCCTATTTTTCTACTTGCATTTTTTTTTGACATGCTTTCGAACTGCTAGGTTGGCAGAAGCTGAGACAAATCACGGGAGCTCACCCATTATACACGGCGCTAGGGATTCGAACCGCTGAACTGCGAAACTTTCGATCGACAAGCTCAGCATCTTAACCCCTGAGCCATATTATTATTATTATTACTTTATATATCTCTATCTCTATTTCTATCTATCTCTATCTATCTATCATTTCTATCATCTCTCATGTACTATCTATATCTACCTATTGATCTATCATCTATCATTTCTATCATCTACTTCTATATCTATCTATCATCTATCATTTCTATCATTATCTATTTCTATCTATCATTTCTATCATCTACTATCTATATCATTTCTATCATCTATCATCTATCTATCATCTATCATTTCTATCATCTACTATCGATTTCTATCATTTCTATCATCTACTATCTATTTCTATCTATCATTTCTATCATTATCTATTTCTATCTATCATTTCTATCATCTACTATCTATATCACTTCTATCATCTATCATCTATCTATCATCTATCATTTCTATCTACTATCTATATCTATCTATCATTTCTATCATCTACTATCTATATCTATCGATCTATCATCTATCATTTCTATCATCTACTATCTATATCTATAGATCTATCTAGCTATCTAGCTATCTATCATTTCTATCAACTATCTATTTCTATCATTTCTATCATATATCATCTACTATCTATCTATCATCTATCATTTCTATCTATCATTTCTATCATCTACTATCTATTTCTATCATTTCTATCATCTATCATCTACTATCTATCATCTATCATTTCTATCTATCATTTCTATTATCTACTATCTATATCTATCTATCTATCTATCTATCATCTACTATCTATCATCTATCATTTCTATCATCTATATCATTTCTATCATCTACTATCTCTATCTATCTATCTATCTATCTATCTATCATCTATCATTTCTATCATCTACTATCTATATCTATATCTATCTATCTATCTATCTATCTATCTATCTATCTATCTATCTATCTATCTATCTATCTATCTATCTATCCATCTATCCATTCCCTCCTGTCTTTATGATTTTTCTCCCAAAGGACATCAAAAGATACAGAAGATTCTTGTAGATTTCATTCGGGTCTGCCAAAACAAACCCAAAGTAGGTTAAAGGAGGGGGGGAAAAGGGCTTATTTTTGATGGACGGGGCTGCATTTCTCGTCCTGTCGCTAGTTTTAAACTTTCTGCGCCTCCTCAATCACGTCTGGCACCTTCCTCTGGCTCTTCATGGCACCCTTCCCATGTGCCAGGACGGCCGTATTTCACACCGTCTCCTTTTCACTCTGGGCCTGCCTTGCGTGTCTCCCCCTCTCCCCGTGTTTTCACACCCTCCGGTTGACCCAGCGTGCCCCCCCCAACTCCACCACACTCCTCGCTGCTCTCGCCAATTAGGTCAGTCTCCGTCAAGTTGGGAGGCTAAGCGAAGCGATGCTTGGCAGAGGGAAGATGGAACGTTTTCCAGAAATGAATGCCTTGTGTCAGAGGCTTGGAGGGGCGGGTGGTGAAGGCAGCTCGGTTGAAGGGAGCCCGGGTGGGAAACGGGTTTGAGAACGGAGAGTCGTCTCTCGAAACCGTGGCTTCTCTGCTGTTTTTGTTACAAACGGATGTGGGTTTTTTTTTTTAGCATGAAACTATAATAGTACCCCTGAGCACTGGGGAAAGTGCCACGAATTGGACTAACTCTTGGATCCCGCTTGCATATAAGAACAGGCCATAGTGTCAACACTAAACATGATTTTAATAAGGAGATCTATCTATCATCTATCTATCTATCTATCTATCTATCTATCTATCTATCTATCTATCTATCTATCTATCATCTATCTTATTCTACTCATCAATCTAATTCTATTCTATCATTTTTTTCATTCTATCTCTGTCTCATGTCTCTATCAAACTATCTATCGCATTCCATCTAGCTCATTCTATCTATTAATCTATCTCATTCTTTCTATCTCATTTTGTCTGTCTGTCTCTTATCAATTCCATTCCATTTATCTCATTTTATCTTTCAATCTAACTCATTTTAACATTCTATCTGTCATCTCTCTCTTCTCTCTTCTCTCTCTCTCTCTCTCCATCTATCCATCCATTGGGGTATATCTATCCATTTCCTTCCTTCCTTCCTTCCTTCCTTCCTTCCTTCCTTCCTACCATCTATCTAGCCATCTATCTATCATCTATTAACTATCTAATCTATTATCTATCTATATCTATCTTCTATATCTATATCTATCTATCTTCTATCTGTCTGTCTATCTATCTATCTATCTATCTATCTATCTATCTATCTATCTATCTATCTATCTTCTGTCTGTCTGTCTTCTGTCTGTCTGTCTATCTTTTGGGTCTGTCTGTCTATCTATCTTCTGTCTGTCTGTCTATCTATCTTCTGTCTGTCTGTATCTATCTATCTTTTGTGTCTGTCTGTCTATCTTCTGTCTGTCTGTCTGTCTGTATCTATCTTCTGTCTGTCTGTCTGTCTGTCTGTCTGTCTGTCTGTCTGTCTGTCTATCTATCTATCTATCTATCTATCTATCTATCTATCTATCTATCTATCTATCTATCATCTATCTATCTATCTACCTACCTACCTACCTATCTGATTCTTGCATCAGGTACATTGTAAACTGAGGACTACCTATACTGTTCTTTTTAAATATTATTTGATTATGCATGATGTTTGTTGTCTTTATGGCTGTTTTTAATGATCCTGTAAGCCACAAAGCGTCAGTACAACTCAGCACTACAGAAGCGATCGTCAGAAATAGCCATAAAATAAAATCGAGCAACAGCTCGATGAACCATGTTTTAATGCAGTCTCCAAAAAAACCTGCCCAGCACTTTAAAACTGCAGTGATTCGCTTAAGAACCCTGGCCAAAAAAAAAAAAGTTTGTAAAATTGGGTTCTGACTCAACTTAACCGTCTCCTTGCCTAGCCATGGAAATTCTGGCCCCCGTTGTGGCCGTAAGCCGAGGACTTTTGTCAGTAAGCACGAAGTATATTTCTTTCCCATGTCTTTTTTTTTTTTAATCTTCATTTTTCTCCTCTACATTTTTTCCACAACAGCCCTGAAGGGTAGGCTGGGCCAGGAAGAATGACGGGGCTCAAAGTCGTTACATGAATATAAACCTGCCGATTTACCAATTTATTTATTTTTTATGATGCTTTTTCTCCCCTTCTTGAAAAAAGGAATTAAAACTGGAAAACAGCTTTGTTTAAATGCACACAAAAGTTTTTGGAGTTTGTACCATAGTCAGTAAAAAAAACCCAAAAACTGAACAACTGAACTGAACTGAACTGAACATTTTGTACCTAAATGTAGTAAAAAATAACAGATCCACGGCTCCCCTTTTACGATGGCTTATATCTTTTCTTGATTATTATAAACATTTATCATCTACCACCGCTTAATTCCACGTAGTAGCTGACTCCTTCCTGCCCGTAAAAAACCATTAAAACAAATTAAAAACAGTTAAATCTGACAAACGGTGTTACCTAAAAGCTGGAAAATTTTTAATATCGAACCACATAATAGTCGGAGTGGAAATAAAAATAATTTGAAGCACGGGAAGTGGGCACGTATCTGAGAGTTAAGACCTTGAGGGAACCGGAGAGGAAGAAAAGAAAACCTAAGAGTTATTTGGGAACTGGATGATGGTTTTTGTAATTTCCGGCCTGCCTTTTTACACCGGTTGGAAAGAGACTGTCCAGCATTTTAGAAATCTTTGCAATGAAGAAAAGCCATTGAACTGAATTATGGTGCCACCACCAAAAAGGCCATGCTCCTTATTGTGAGATGCTGTATGCCGGCGCATATCATTCCTTCCTTTTTCAGGCTCTGTGAATAGTCGTCGACTAACAGCAGCTCATTTAGTGACCATTCCAAGTGTTTTTCACACTTAACGACCATTGCGGCGTCCCCAGGGTCACCGGATCAAAATTCAGACGCTTCTTTTATGTTTAAATAATATAATGAGGATTACTATTTGATTAATGTGATAGAGATCGTTAACAACGCTAATGAGAACTGGATCGATATGATAATCCAGTTAAGGAGTCAGTTCAATGTTATGTTTGAACAATATCATGAGGATTGCTTAAATTTGGATAAATGTGATATAGAGGTTACTAATACTATTATTGTGAATTGGATTAATATATTAAAAAAATAGATAAGAAGATAAGCGCAAAAGAGGAAAAGGGATTTTCCTTTTGCGTATTTTTAAATAATATAATGAGTATTATATCAATTTGATAAATGCGATAATTAACAATGTTAGCGTGAATTGGATCAATATGAATGATACCTAGTCAAATTTGTTTGTATATAATAGAGAAATGTTCACCATCACTGACCTATAATATCCATAACCCATTTTCCCTCCTCCCGCACATTCGTTGTCCTTCCCGCCATTCCCATTGGGGTCCCCATGCCATGTTATCTTACACCGTCTCGTCGTTCTGAAATTCCACCTTGCCAGCCACTTCCTCATAATCCTCGCCGGCTTTAGCTGTGCCCTCGATGGTGTGATAAGGGATGGCCACTCGTCCACGGGCTCCCGAAGTCCTCAACACTTTGATGTGTACCACGCCTACGCTTTCGCTCACTCGCTTCGAGGGTCCCTCAAAGGTAAAGATACCGGCGTGGTCGTCATCGAAGATCGTCACAGTGGCCATCTTGGAGGGCGCAAGACAAGCTTTCGGAGGAGGTTCTGGACCCGGCTCGGCCCAGGCTGCCCTGACGTTGCTGAGATGGACGTAAAAATACTCGTCCTCTTCAAAAATATCATCGTCAATGATCCCCACCCGCAGTTCCTTGTGTGTCTCTCCCGGCTTGAAGAGCAAGGTACCCTCTGCAAATTCGTAGTCGGAGCCAGCGTTGGCGGTTCCGTCCTCCGTACGGAAGTCCACTCGCACAGTGACGCAGGCCAGATCGCCTCCTCGACGGGCCACGGTCAGGACCACCGAGCCACAGTTCTCGAAGCACTGATAGTGAGCTGGCTCGAAACCGACTCTGGTCACCGATTCGTCTTCCTCCGTCTGGACTTCTTGGATACTGATGGCTTTGCGGGCCTGATCGGCCGCGTGTTTCTTGAGGATGTTCCCGGCTCCGATCATCATACGGGTCGCTTGGATGCGGTAGAAAGCGCGGCTCTTCTGCTGCTGGACCAGTACCTGATAGTTGGCCATTTCGATCAGTTGTTCCATGTCCTTTTCAGGGTGCTTCTGTTTCAAATCCCGCAAGGTTCGAGCCATATCCCTGCGGGCTTCCTCGTCTTGATCCTTACCCGTATCCCCCAGACCTTCCGATCCTTCCTTGAGCGAGTTATCCATCTCGATGTCCATTTTCGGGTAGCCGATATCGCCCTCGCTCTCGATAATGAGACCTCGCGACTTATCCGCCCGGTACTTTTTATGGACGTACTTGTAGAAGAGGAGCCTCCGGTCAGCTATCCAAGCTTGGAGGACGCAGACTGGGAAAAACAAGAAGGTGAGAAGACCTTCCCAGAGTTCTACCTCACCGGGAGAGAACCAGGCCAAGATAAGGTACAACCAGATGTAAGCAAAGATGCTCCACGCCGCGGTGACGAAGAAAACCCGCAGGTGTTTGATGCGCCGTATCTCGCCTTGAGGGACCACGTGAATGCAAACGGCAATGATGATGAACATGTTAAAAGCGGCGCTGCCCACGATGGTGCTGGGACCCATGTCTCCTGCCTGAAAGCCGTGACCCACGATCTCGATGATGGACAGGAGTATCTCGGGGGCAGACGACCCCAGGGCCATCAAGGTTAGGTTGGACACCGTCTCGTTCCAGATGCGGATCGTTGTTGTCATGGTCTCCCCGTTGGGTTTCTTAATGGTGATCTCCTTCTCCTGCGAGGTGATCACTTCGATGGAGGCCATGAAGCGGTCGGCAATGATGGACATGCCCAGGAACATGTAGATGAGGGCCACAAAGTAAACGATGGCCCGGGCCACCTTATCTCCGACGGAAGGATTCTGAGGGAGCCACACAGGTAAGATCACACCTTCCTGGCACTCAGTGTGCTCCTGACACTTGGAGCTACGGTTGCCACCATCTGGAGAAGATGACCCAATCCTGGGTGGACCCAAGGCATCGTCCACTGTGGCTAGCAGCGACGGGAGGAACAGAGCCAAGAGCAGGATTGAGTTCCTCAGTGGAGACATGATGGAGAAGATGACTCTGGGGAGAGAGAGGAAAGAAAAATGGTTACAGAACCCATGACTCACAGCTGATAATAGGGTTTCTCAGAAGACTTGGCATGGTGAGATCATTGATGGAGACATTGAGGGCCACCAAGAAATAACTCATAAACACTCCAAAGATGACTCCCAATGTTATCCCTTCAGCGTTTCTCAACCTTGGCAACTTTAAGACTGGTGGACTTCAACTCCCAGAATTCCCTAGCCAGCCATACTGGATTTCTGGGAGTTGAAGTCCACCCATCTTAAAGCCTGCCAGCTGGGGAATTCTGGGAATTGAAAGTCCATTTATTTAAAGCACACTGGCTGGGGAATTCTGGGAGTTGAAGTCCATCACCTTAAAGTTGTTGAACTTGAGAAAGATTGCCCTGAAGTAATCTTTCTTGGACTACAATGACTAGAACTCATGGGAGTTGTAGTCCAACATTCTGGAGAACATGTCGTAGAAATCGAGCGAACCAGACTTAGCCTCATCAAGACCTCCAGCTCTCCCTCTGGCCTCCCAGAATCCCTTCCATCACGGATGAGATCTTTCTAAAAGAAGTTTTTGGATTCTAGGCCAATGCCTCCTGGGGATGATTGGACACGGAGTCCTGCTGTTCTCAATAGGATGATGGTCAAGGGAGACTACTTGATTTGAAGGCTCGTCCGTGAGATGCCAACGCTGATACCATCACAAGTTTGTCTTCCCTGTGAGAGGAGGGTGAATCAGAAATCTATTTAAACGCATTTATTTACATCGGTGTTTTTGTTCAAAACACACATTTTCTAAAATGGACTTGGCTCCAGGGAATAGTAAGAAGAGAGGATTCAAGACAAGGCACCCAGCCAGCTCACTTCTGGAGAGGGAAGCCCTTACGCAACTTATATTCTCAACCGAGGTTCATAACCGGAGCCAGGATTTCTGTTCACTGTTCATTTATTTAATCTGTATCCCGCCTTTAATTATTTTTCACAACTAAATCAAGGCGGGGGAACCTATCCAACACGTACCTTCCTCCTCCCCCTCTTTGCCTCTACAACAACCCTGTGAGGTGGATCGGGCTGAGAAAAGGGGTCGGCCCCAAAAGTCATCCAATTGGCTTTCGTGAAGTCCTTGGCGCTCTCTGAGATGGATGGTTTTCCTGTAGACGTTTCATGACCCAACTAGGGAACATTATCAGTGCACGAAAGGAATGGGGATTGTGGAGATGATGATGATGATGATGAGGAGGAGGAGGAGGAGGAGGAGGAGGAGGAGCAGGAGGAGGAAGAGGAAGAATGTGGGTCCTTGATGCTGAGCTTGGTTTTTTTTTCTTGCAAACGTTTCATGACCCAACTAGGGAACATCATCAGTGCTCAAAAGGAATGGGGATTGTGGAGATGATGATGATGATGATGATGAGGAGGAGGAGGAGGAGGAGGAAGAGGAAGAATGTGGGTCCTTGATGCTGAGCTTGGTTTTTTTTCTTGCAAACGTTTCATGACCCAACTAGGGTACGTCATCAGTGCTAGAATGGAGTGGGATGTGCATATAGGAGGAGGAGGAGGAGGAGGAGGAGGAGAACGAGGAATGTGGAGTCCTCAGTGCTCCCTGAGCTCGCTTATTTTCCTTCCAGACGTCTCATGACCCAGCTAGGCAACGCCATCCATGCTCATCAGTGCCTCACTTAGCACCAAACATTTCAGCTTCCGTTGCGGTCAGAAGTCGAGGACTACCTGTAGACCGAGGACTGCGAGGCTGCTTGGAAAGCACTCCCCTCGTGGTCTACAGGAGAGCCACGGCCTACTTGGGGGGGGGGGGGAGTAAGACCTGATTTTCTGCAAGGAGCCTTCTGCCAGCTGCGTTTGGCAGGAGACCAGCAACTTCCACGGTTTTCCGCTTCGGCCTGCAGAAAAGTTAGAGCCCACTTCTCGCGTGGCTCTGGTCCAGAAGAACTTGGAAGCTGGTCAGTTTTCTCTGGACCTGACCTCTGCCTTTCTGCCGCTACCCTTCTGACAGCCAACAAAAAATCACTGTGTGTTTTCGCATCCTGATCTGGGTCATATAATTACACCCCGGCTGAATAATCACCCGCGTGAGAACTTCCTGGAGAAGTGACCTTGGACGAGGGAAACTTCCTTCAAAGTTCTTGGGACAGGGGGTGGGACACACGTCTGCAGGCGGTCCTCGACTTACAACACCGTGTTGTTAATTTTTTTTAAAAAAAATTGAAACCAGGAGATGGTGAGTTCTAGTCCCGCCTTAGTCGTAAGAGCCGGGTGGGTGATTCTGGGCCAATCACCAGGGGATGGTGAGTTCTAGTGCCACCTTGGGCATGAAAGCTGGTTAGGCAACTTTGGAGCCAATCCCTAGGAGATGGTGAGTTCTAGTCCCTCCTTAGGCATGAAAGCCAGCTGGGTGACTTTGGGCCAATCACCAGGAGACTGGGAGTTCTAGTCCTGCCTTAGGCATGAAAGTGAAATAGGTGATTTTGCGCCAGTCATCAGGAGACTGGGAATTCTAGTCCTGCCTTAGGCATGAAAGCTGGTTGGGCGACTTTGGGCCAATCACCAGGGGACTGAGAGTTCTAGTCTCTCCTTAGGGATGAAAGCCAGCTGGGTGACTTTGGGCCAATCACCAGGAGACTGGGAGTTCTAGTCCCTCCTTAGGGATGAAAGCCAGCTGGGTGACTTTGGGCCAATCACCAGGAGACTGGGAGTTCTAGTCCCTCTTTAGGGATGAAAGCCAGCTCTGGGTGACTTTGGGCCAATCACCAGGAGACTGGGAGTTCTAGTCCCGCCTTAGGCATGAAAGCTGGTTGAGCGACTTTGGGCCAATCATCAGGGGACTGAGAGTTCTAGTCCTGCCTTAGGCACAAAAGTCGGTTGGGTGACTCGCTCTCTCAGCCCAACCCACCTCACAGGATTGTTGTTTTTTGGGGGTAAAAGGAGGTTTGCCGCCTTGAGTTATTTGTAAAAACAAATCCAAATAAACAAAATAAAATGTGAAACACGAGCATCTTAAATGGCTACCGTAACTACTACTTCCCAGCCTTACGGATTTCCTAGCCAGCAGTTATCATTTTTTACCTAAATGGAAATCTCCTTTTCTGACGTCACCTCAGAGTACCAGGAATAGGAGGCCGGAACAATTAAGCTATTATGGCACTTCTTTCCCAGCTCACATATGGTGACACTGAAGTGCAAAAGCATGTTCTCGGCCAGCCCCACCCGCCCATCATTAATTCAGAATATCCAGTAATCCGTTTCGCTCTCAGCCAGTTTTTCACCCCACTTCATTCCCACAAACGAAGGAGAGGCGTTGGCCCCCCTTTTCCTAGAATCCAGGCCTCTGAATTGATGTATTTATGTCTATTTATTTATTATTTATGGAGCATATGGCATGTACGGAGGCCATGCGATTGTTTATTGATCGATGATCTATTTTTTATTAGCTATTTATTATCTCTTATCTGATTATCGATTGTCTATTAGTTATGTATTATCTAACAGCTAATTATCGATTTCTATTTATTATTTATGATCTAATTATCGATTATTTATTTATTTATCTAGCATCTCATTATCAATTTCTATTTATTCTTTACTTACCCAATTATCAATTTCTATTATCTGATGATCATTTCCAATTTATTATTTACTTACGATCTAATTATCAATTTCTATTTATTTACTTATCAATTTCCATTTTTTTACTTATTATCTCATTATCATTTCTATTATGTCATTATTATCTAATGTCATTTGCCTCTTTGTTAGTTACTTATTTACAGTATCTAGTATCTCGTTATCAATTTCTATTTATTATTTACTTGTCTATCAATTTCCATTTACTGTTTACTTATCTAATTATTGATTTTTCTGTTTCTTATTTATCTAATTACTGATTGTCTATTTGTTATTTATTTGTCTAGTATCTATCGATTTCTATTTGTTATATACTTATCTAATTATCAATTGTCTATTGGTTTTTTATCTAGCAGCTAATTATCCCTCTTCTATGTTTTATTTAGATAATAATTATCGATTGTCTTTATAATTTATTGTTTATTGATCTAGCATCTAGTGATCTATTTATTGATTATCCCTGTTCCTTTACGCCTCTGACTGGTATTCTAACAATCCTGGGCCATCGCAGGTTCTAGTTCCCATCATCCCCAGCTGATGGGATTACAGAAAGGCAAGGCTGGCAGGGATCATTATAACCCCGGCGTCAGAAACATTCCTGCGCCATCTCTGAACATCTTCCTCTCTCATTATACAGTAAGTGCTGCCGAAGCCATTTGATTGTTCTGGCAGCCGTCCGACCAATCTTGCAAATCAGGCCAAGGATTCTTTTAGCGATTCTTAATGTTGACGATGTCTTCGCCTTCCAAAAATTGGAGGATTCGCAGGAGAAATTCGAAAGGTCGTACTGTGGAGCAGAGCTCCCTTAACAACTGTCTTGCTTAGCCACCGAAACTTGGGGCTGAATTGGTGGTCGTAAGTCAAGGACTCCTTGTACTTTCAGACCTGTCTAGTTGACACCAACCCTTTGAGGTAGTCCAGGGAAGAAGCACCACCCAAAAATACTCACACCTTCCTCCATGTAGTACGTGGTTGGAAAAACATCTCCCCCCCGACTTCTAAAGCCATTGTGGAAGACCAATAAGGCACTGGGGGGGCTCTCAAAAGAAGATCCTATGAGTTCTGAAGCCCCCCACCCTTTTCACTCTTGGTATCAAAAGAGCCGAGTTCCAATCCTTCCCGATTGGATGGGCAATCGGCCATATAATCCCTTTCCGTCAATCCAGTCCCGCTGTGTTTTGTTTTCCTGCAGGGACTTTTTCACCTCGCCCCATCCCTAAAAAACCCACCCAGTTTTCTCCCACAACAGGTGGGCTCCCTACAGTGGGTGGGATTCAAATAATTTAACAACCGGCCAACTCAATGTTACTCATGTCGATGGGTGCTTCGCCTTAGCTGTTACAATGTAATAAGGGTTAACCAGAGAGGCAGTTTCTGTAAACAGGGCAATAAAGATTAGGCTAGAAACACCAGCAGAATGTTCCCTTCCTGCCTTCCTTACAGGATTAGTTCTCCCGAATAGGTGCGAACTGGTTGAATCCCACCCCTGGCTCCCTGCCAAAACTTCCCAGGATATTAAAATTAGCCTCTTGGAAAATCTGAATCTGCAAATCTTGATTTTAAATGCAGTTTTTTCCCCCCCCCATCCTCTTTCAACAAAAG